CTATAATTACAAGATAATAGAAAAATTGTATTATTATATTGCGTGTCTCAAGAACATATAATTTAAAATTAATTACTCAAAACACCCTAAAATGTATCAACATCATAATATTAACGTAATTTTGATGTGATCATATTCACATAATTAAAATTTCACAATAGAGGTCCAACTATAGATAACTATATTAAAATTGAAATTATTTGAATTGACTTTAAATTTATGATCATATTAATCAATAATATTGTTAATATTTATAATTCCAAAGTATGCTGTATAATAGGTTGTGATTTGCCCTTAATGCAAGCTACGTTTTATTAATTTATTAGGGGGAGAATTAATGCAAGCTACACTATTAATTTAGGGGGAGCATTAGTGCGAGCTACACTATTATCGAAGGGGAGAATGGGTATTGGAGATGCGTAGGAGCTACATTTAATGCGAGGGAAAAAAGTCCCACATCATCCTGCTTACAATGGCAAAGCCTCTATAAAAACCTATAAAAACCTTAGATGTGCATGGCCTTATGAGCATAAGCCACGCATGCATATGCAACGAAAAAAGTCCCACATCATCCCGTTTACAATGGCAAAGCCTCTATAAAAACCTTAGATGTGCATGGCCTTATGAGCATATGCCATACATGCATATGCAATCTACTCGAGGTTTTGAACACGTGCCCAGAAGTTGGGGTGTGACTTCCCTATTTTTTAAATTGAAAAAATTCTTGACTTTCAAAAAATATGGCTATTAAAACCAGTGACGTGTATGTTTTTACTTAAAAAAACTGATGACGTGTCTGATTCATGATGTCATGATACGATTCATGACATCATGACACGCGATTTACATTAGGGACACGTTCGGATCCTGATTTATTATCAGATTCGGGATCTCCAGCTGATACCCGATCCGGATCGCCTGATTCCGGATCGGGTCATCAAGTTTTTGAACACTGGTCTGAACTAAATGATCAGTTCGGTTATGTTTTTACACATGTTTGTACCATTTTTTATGGTGAATTGCGGTTCCATGGAGACTAGTGGCAGGACCTATGGCATGCTCATCAGCAAAAATGGCCCGCTATGTTGCACACTCTTACACTCAAAGATTTCAAGACAGCATGCATGCCATATAAATCAAGGAACTTGAAATTTGTTAAGCCAAGGACAATCCCGCATATCAGCTGGTCCTCAATATTGAGCAAGCTATGCATGGCAGCCCAACCACTATCACCTTTACTTATCTGCAGGCTCAGCAACCCAAAACCATCGCCATTCGTTTCTAAAGCCGAAGAGGAGTTGTGGCTGTCCATCAATGTGCGATGAATGGTGCTCCGAGAAAGACCCGTGCTCGGATGGTCGAACTGAAGTGTTCAGGCCATCCAGCTCTCAGATGAGTCAGGGTTGAGGTTATTTAAAACGAACTCTTCTAGGAGAGAGATGAGCCCTGTCCTCAGATCCTCATGGTTCAAATCTTATGTGTAAAGTTGATCAGGGTGCTACACATCCTTGGCATCAATATCCAAAGAAATGCATGCCACAAGCCGTCACATTAAGCAGCCGCACCTCCTCCATATGAGCCAAACATGCAGCATCAGGTTGCCAACTCATCACGGGCCTCATCTCTGCTTAGTTCAATCTAGTGACAGGTATGTTGCTGATTGATCTTTTGCTTCCTGTTCCATCTAAATTTCAAGGACGACCGCCAGACATCATCATGATTCTAGCTCGCTCGAGCCTATTCGTAATACTTCAAGAATGGTAACCAGACATCATCATGAGTCTAGCTGGCTCGAGCTTATTTGTAATACTTCATGGACTGCAGCCAGACATCGTCAAGAGTCTAGCTTGCTTGAGCCTACTAGGATAGTGGCTGGACATCTACATGAGTCAAATCCCCTTACGCCTAAACATGGCAGTCATAAGGGGGTCATTAAGCCCCCTTTTGGACCGAAGATATTTCAGTCATCAGGACTGGCGATAAGGGCAGAGATCAAGCCCAGTCCTTCACCCACTTCGATCGTTACGAAGCCTCGTTCCTGTCCAATATCAAGACCAGCAGTCAAGTCCTCATCAAGGCTCAAGGAAACATGATACTCTCCTCGCCTACCACAACTGGTGGTTCGGCCATGAGCTAGTTCCTTCCAAACTTGCCATGACGGAAGTAAAATGTTTTCCTATCAATACATTGAGATCAAACCGGCAGTTGAAAGAACAATACATCCTAGACAAGCAGTCAGGTATCCCGCTACAATAACAACACGCTGGCAGTCACCCAAGAGACGATGCACACTTGCAAACTTCAGATCCTACCCAGATTAAGCTGAGACGATGCACACTTGCAAACTTCAGATCCTACCCAGATTTTAGGCCTAGATTACCACCCCTTTTCAAGAGAAGACTCATGTTGAGGTTCAACTGACCTCTCAACCAGCGGCTCCGAATCTGTCCTATTTGAGTACATATGGGACATCAATACTCATTTGAAGCCCAGGTTGAAGAAAAGCAAAGTGTGGATAGCATTCCTACATTATATCTAGGTGTAAGTGGTGTCGTATGCCCTTTGGTGCTAATATTTTCCATTTCCTTTCATTTTTCTTTCTAAGACCTGTAATTTGCTTTGAGACCTGAATTAATGGTATTTGTTCTGTATTCCAATTTGATGTAAATGAAATAGAGATTGAAGGTCTTTGGAACTCCTCTAAAACCCATTAGTATATGCAAAACTAAATGGATCTGGGGTGGATTTGTTCCCTTTGTTAGTTTCTCTGGCTCCTCTCATTTATCTGGAGTCATATTAATATCCACTGACACATTTGGGGCAAACTAGCACTGAATTGCAAGACCTAAACAATAGTTGCTAGACAAAGAATAAAATGAAAGAAGTATTATGTGAAGCAAAAGCATGAAGCATGGGCAAAATTTCTAATGTCGGGTTAGATTCTAGGAATCACACTGATTCATTAATGAAGCGATATGAGAATCGAAAAGAAAATGTGAGGTAGTGACCAAGGGACTTATATGGCAGCGCTTTATTATGGCTGTGTCTCTATCCTCACTCTCATTCTTAAAGCGATTTTCTCTTTAGTGGTTCTCTCACTCTTGGTCTCTTTCTCAGTCTCTCTCTCTTGGTTTTTTGGTCTCTCCCTACCTAAGTCATGTAACTCTTATCTTTCTGTCCCTTTCGTTATTGTGCTTTCTCTGTCTATCGCTCTCTCTCTCTGTATAAGTCATGTAATTTTCTTTCTCTTCATCTTTCTCTCCTAAAGTGATGTTATTTCTTCCTCTTGGTGTTTCTCTCTCTCTCTCTCTTGTTCTTACTATCTCTCTTGGACTTGTGGTATCTCTCTCTGGGTCATGTTGTCTCTCTTTTCATTCTCCCTCTCCCTCTCTCTAAGTCATAGCATGTTTGTTACAATCCTATCTCTACTACTTTTTTATATTTATATGGTACACTCTTATTGTCATGGTCTCTCTCTCTCTCTCTAAATGTGATGTTTGCTTATTTCTCTCTCTAAAATATGTAATTTCTTTCTCTCTTTCTCTCCTCCTCTCTTATAGGGTTGTGGATTTTGCTCCCTCTGTGTTTGGTTGTGTAGAAAAAGTTTATATAAGGTGTCTAAACTTATACTATAATTGTAAGGTGGACTCCAAAAACGCATCTCGAAAATTGTTTCGACACTGGAAAACCCTCCAATTGATCATCTTGAACTTGAGATATATGCATGTTGGGGCTAAAAAAAAAGGATTTGAAATCCTAAAATAAGTGCATCTTTTAACACATTATTTGGACTGTCCATGTTCTAAAAATATTTATAGATCCGCTCTGCACTATTTTTGGAGCTCTGAATTTCACAATTAGGGGTGGAAATAGATTTTCAGGCCATTGTAAAAGTATGCGGCATCAAAACTGCATCTTCCAATAGGGTTTGGAGGTGCACCTTACTTTGAATATTTAAGGTTGACGCCTTCTATAAGCTGCATCCTACACGCACACACACAATGATTCTATAAGTTTTCGGGCTTATATTGTAGCATAAGCTCATTGTAGCTATAAGGGCTTGTTTGTTTGAGCCAAATTTTGCACATGCTGATAAAATAAAAAAGCAAAATGCGTTTTGCATAGAAAGGGAGAAAGTGAGTCTGTCATTTTCAATAAATGCAGTTTGTCCATTTGATGGATGTTGGATCTAGGTCTTCTATAAGTCAGCATTGATTTTTTTTTTAAAAAAAATATTTATGCTTTGAATCCATGTTTTGTAATTTCATCCTAGGAAAATCACTTTAGCAATATGTTTTAACCAACGGCCACACTGAAGCACAAGGGCATTGGCTTATAGAACTATAAAAAACAAGTTATTAAAATAAAAAACTTATTTTAAATTATAAAAAATTATTTTTTAAAAATTCATTTATAGAAAAACCGATACTGATTTGTTTGTTTAAATTATAACTGGATTAGGGTGTGGCTTTGGAGCCGTCTTCAGAGTTTGTCTATTATTAGAACTAGCATTTCAACTTTTATAAGACGTTTTGGTTAAGATAATGTGCGACTGCTGTTTTGAGTCCATCATATCCAAAATGCTAGGTCTGATTAACATCAAGTGATAGATAGACATTTTGGTTTTATTAAATGGGGAAAGCTCAAACTTTTAAAAATGCTTTTCATCCAATCTATCACGTAAATGACTTCAATTCTCTGTCATCATTTTCAAGCAATCAAGTTTTTGACCGTTCAAGAATGTGTTGCCTGCAATGCTACGTGGATGACTCATCAATGTTCATTTCCAAAAAGTTGCCTGTACTTTTTTTTTTTTTTCCAGTTTTTTAATGTTTTTTCTAAGCAATATCTGCTTACATATCCAAGAAAATCAACTATCTGATTGTGTTGTTTGCCAATGAAGAGTTCCCTCTTTTGTTATGGCAATTTATGTATTAATGAATTGGACATGTTATGGTTTTCATCTTTATGAAGCTTACCTGAATTTTTTGAGGCTTCAGGCAATGGCTGATGATGCCATCATGAGGCTTAAATGTTCAACAGACTTGCGAGACCTTCACTCTGCAGACATTATTATTGAGGCTATTGTGGAGTCTGAAGGTTCTAAGAAGGAACTATTTTCTCAACTGGACAGGATCGTAAAAGATTCTGCTATTTTGGCATCAAATACTAGTTCAATCTCCATTACTCGTCTGGCCACCACAACTCGCAGACCTAGACAGGTATATGTGCATATACTATTATTATATCTTTTTATGCCACGTGGCATGCTTCATCAAATACATATAGGCTTTCTTTCCGCTAAAGATGACATCCTTGTAACGGGCAATCCGTTCCCCTTGAGCTCCCTCTCTGGGAGAATTAGCATACATACCCGCTTTGAAAGATTTTGGACAAATATTTATTGAGTCTCATGCGGACCTTTAATAGTTGGGAAAAGGCTCTGACGATGATGATGATTTACTGAGCCTCAAATTATCAGTGTGAAATTTGAGCACCCTATTTTATAAGAGAAAATACTGACTTGTTTGACACAGCTAGTGACATACCCCTTTATTACAAATCCATTCAGAATATTGGTGATGATAATGCAATCTTTTTAGAATTTACCTTCGCCGATGAATTATGTTCGTCTTATAATTGCAGTAGTATTTAAGGACTTGTCTCTCCACCAAACAGTGAAGGGAGTATGACTAAAATGTTCTTTATATCCCTTTTAGGGATGTATTTGAGCAATCAATATTTCCTTTCCTTTTGTTTCCAATTTTTGTGGGAATGTCCCCTTTCAAAACTATGATAATACAAAACCAACCAATATAATACTGGCTGTACAAAAAGTAGAAAATCATTTTGCTGGGAGCGTGGCGTTGTTTTCCATGAATCTGTATATGTGTTTGCCCCTAGCACTACTTCTAAGCATCACCATTGCCATCATCATCAGCAACACCACCACCAACATAATTTTGTGAATCTGCTATTTTGCACCCTGGTGCATGTAAAGGTCCATGGCAGCATCCATGTGAGGGGATTTTTATCTCTCACCTTCTTGATGATAACAAGAATATTCTGGGAAACATTTCCCATAGAACTTCATCCATATACAGTAAAAATTCACTGTACAAAAAAAAATGGTACACAAAAGTGTTGTGGTGAGAGTATGGGATATCTAGAATCTCTTGTGCTAAAGTTGTGAACTCTGCTTACAGAATGGTTAAGAGAAGACCAACTTCCCTGTACCCTGCACAAATGGAAGCACGGCTAAAATTCCATTTGTGTAATAGACTAGCTTCCCTTATTTTATGTAATGATTAGATATAATTCCTCGTCCTATTTTCTGAAGTGGTCCTTTTCGTAAACCTGATGGTGCATGTACACAAGAGAGACTTTTCATCCTAAGATGAAATTGTGAGACAACCTAACCCATGTATTATTCAGCCAAACAATAGGAGAGCTAACAGAAATGCCCTGTCACTAATGCTTATGGATGCCCCCCACAGTTCTTAGGCTATTTCGTAAACAAATAGTTAAAATGTAATTGGTCATAATGTCATGTATATGCAGCAATAGAAATGATTTTGTTCCTTCCGATACACATTGATGGTGACACAGACAAATATCTGGGCAAGAGCATGCTTCATCCCGCGAGTTTATCTGGTGATACCTTTAGGTTGAAGTGTAAAGTTTTTCGATGTTTCTTGAGGTCCATCTTGCAAATTGGATTTGTTAAAATTGGATGTTTCTGAGGTCCAGCTTGGAAAGTGGATCTGTTAATAAACCCCAGATGAATGTATCATTTTTGTCATTGAACAAGTGCTTGGCATAACTGGTGATGGTAGGCACCAATATAGCTTACAGTAAATCTTTTCCAGGCTGTTCTTTTGAGCGCATTTTCAGTGTGCAGGGATCTGAAACATGAAGCTGCAAGCTTTGTAATTTATCTGTTCATTGGAAACAGTAAAGCTTCTATTTAGTTTCTTATTGAGAGCCGATGAAATCACAGTTAGTAGTCTTTTATTGTTTCCATTTTCCATTTGTCATATCCCTACACTAAAATGATTAAGATATGCTTTTCTCACAGGTTATTGGCATGCATTTTATGAATCCCCCTCCCATTATGAAGCTCGTAGAGATTGTCAGAGGGGCAGATACATCTGATGAAGTTTTTGCGATTGTCAAAACCCTAGCAAAAAGGTGAAGTTACCTAGTTCTTATAGCACAAACAAACTAACCAAGTTTCCTACACTTTTAAATTATTAACAATGATTTAAGACTCATTGAGCCCAACTTGGACTTGTACGAGTTAGTCATTTGCGGAAGGGTGCTGGGTCCCATAGAAAATATCGAGAATTGGCTGAATTTCAACAGTTGAGGTTACTGTGTTAGTCTTTAATACACTCAGTTATCTTGTGGAGACTCAGATGAGTCTGACCTACTGACTTGGGTTTGGGCCCTGCCCAGTTCCGTACTCAAGACCGAGTTTTCACATCGTTGATTCTTACTCAAACATGCAGATCATTCAACCAATGAGGTAATCTGACAATCAAAATCACCTGCAGGCTAGGAAAAACAATAATATGCTCGCTCGATTTCCCTGGGTTCATTGTTAACCGAATCCTTATGCCCATGATAAATGAAGCCTTCTTTGCCCTCTATACTGGTGTGGCTACGAAGGAAGACATTGACACTGGGATGAAGCTTGGAACAAACCATCCAATGGGACCTTTAGAACTGGCAGATTTCATTGGACTAGATGTCTGCCTATCGATAATGAAGGTATTCTTGCTCTTCTTTTTTTCAGTAAGATATGTTTCATCCATTGAAATGAATTTGAAGTAGCAACGATTGTGGAGTTGTTTATTATTCATTTGCCGATAAGCTAGTAAAGGCCAAAATGTTAGTTTGGATATACCCTAATCTAGAAGAATTTCTGATGGCGAGCTAAAACCTCAGCAAAGCGCTTGTAGTTTGGATGTGCGAGAGTTATTTGGATGGCAAGGTAAAAGTCTCCGCGAAAATCCTCATTTTCTCGTACCCCACTCTCTCTAATTTCCAGCCACCCCTCAACGGTCCGGCCGATGTTCCTCTCTCTCCTTCTTCATCATCTCCTTTTCCCCTCCTCTTTGTTGATGGGAAAAAGCCACCATAAAACCATTGTCACATGGTGATCAAATTTCTTGTAAGGCAGCTGAATGAACATAACTCGCAGATAAAATTAAGCTGCACCTAGCTTTTAAAACAGCCAAACAAATTTGTATCTAAAGAAAAAAAAACTTCAAACTTTCAAGTGTATTTGCAAGTTTTTTTAATTATGAGCTTCTTATATTGGACATCCAAACTAGATATAAATAATGTGCATTATCTATATATATATATATATATATATATATATACTA